CGTCCGTCATCCTGCGCACATGATAAAAGGCTGTTTTGTGACACAGGAAGCCCCTGTTGTCTCGCAGCTGTGAGCGCTCGTTACTGTAGATTTCGCGTTAGTGCCACTCCACCATTGCACCTGTACCTTGATCCTCTCCAGCCTCTCCGGTCCTTTCTCGGCCAGCGGTGTGCTGGGGCGGCCGAGCGAGCCAGTCGAGCATTTCAGTCGGAACGATTTTTCACATGCGGGGCCTCCGGTACACGGGTAGCCATTGGCGTTGACGGACCACCGAGACCTGGACTGCTGTGGCGCCGTCCTTTCTGAGCTGAGCTCATTCTGAGTGGGGCCTGAGAAGATCTCTGGCTCACGAGACGACGAGGCGACTGTCGGATTTGAGCAGATCTCGGGGACGATTGTCCGATCTTAGGAAGCCCCGGAATGACTGTGGGCCTGCGGGGATCCAGGGGTGGCCACCGGGTCGAAGAGGCCATCGGACAACAGGCAGGGTCCAAAATCCGGTGTCTGGGGTTCTGTGGTCTAAGGTGATGCCGGGATAATTACCAGATCTGCGGGATCTCGGCACATCTGCTGGGTCTGGCGAGAGAGAGATGAGCGGGACCTAACAAACGTCCCGGGACATATGCAGGGTGCGAGGAGAAGAAGATTAACGGAGACCCAACAGGCGTCCCGGGACATATGTTGGGTGTGAGAGAGGAAGAGATAACGAGAGACCAACAGACGTCCCTGGACAGGTTGTAAGGAGAAGAGATGACGGGGACCCAACATACGCCCCCGGAACATGTGTTTGGGGTGTGAGGAGAAGAGATGACGAAGACCCAACATACGCCCCGGAACATGTGTGGGTGTGAGGAGAAGAGATGACGGAGACCCAACCATACGCCTCCGGAACATGTGTTGGGTGTGAGGAGAAGAGATGACGGAGGACCCAACATACGCCCGGAACATGTGTTGGGTGTGAGGAGAAGAGATGACGGAGACCCCCAACATACGCCCCGGAACATGTGTTGGGTGTGAGGAGAAGAGATGACGGAGACCCAACATACGCCCCGGAACATGTGTTGGGTGTGAGGAGAAGAGATGAAGGAGACCCAACATATGTCCCGGGACGTGTGTTGGGTGTGAGGAGACGAGATGACCGAGACCTAACAGATGACCCAGGACATGTGTTGGGTGTGAGAAGATCCGGGTGGAATCTGACGCCAGGCCCGAGGAGATCTCTGGAGATGCGTCAGGTCTGAGGAGACCCCGGAACAGCTGTCAGGTGCTAAATACTCCACATTACTGCGGGGGTCTGAGCATGAGGGGCTTCGGGTTAACTGCCGGTCGTGAGGAAGCAGCGGGACATCTAACAGATCTGAGGACGCTCCTTTACGACCGCTCTGTTTGAGAGGATCGGGCGGGTCTGACGGGTCAGGTCCGACATGACAGGCCAGGTCTGCTGAGACCCGCAGGACCGTCGCCAGGTCTGAGGAAGCATCCGGGATGTTTGTTTCAACCGCTGTGACATCAGGCGGAGCTGACCGGTTCTGCCCCGTCCGACGATTGTTCCGGCGGATAAACGCTGACACACCGTGACCCGCTCACAATCGGTAATTGACGGCGGCGCGTCGAATGGGCCATTAGACGACGGGATTGTGACCACTGCCTCCAGCTCCAATGCTGAACAGTGGGACCGTGCTCACTGCCTCAGCGTCCGCCGCCGGACAGCGGGACCGGGTGTACTGCCTCAAACTCCGCAGCCGGACAGCGCGACCGGGCTCACTGCCTCAACCTCTTCCGCCGGACAGCGGGACCGGGTGTACTGCCTCAACCTCTGCCGCCGGACAGCGTGACCGGGCTCACCGCCTCAGCCTCCGCCGCCAGACAGCGGGACCAGGCTCACTGCCTCAGCCTCCGCCGCCAGACAGCGTGACCGGGCTCACTGCCTCAGCCTCCGCCGCCGGACAGCGGGACCGTGCCCACTGCCTCAGCCTCCGCCGCCAGACAGCGGGACCAGGCTCACTGCCTCAGCCTCCGCCGGACAGCGGGACCGTGCCCACTGCCTCAGCCTCCGCCGCCAGACAGCGTGACCGGGCTCACTGCCTCAGCCTCCGCCGCCGGACAGCGGGACCGGGCTCACTGCCCCCCCCCCCCCCTTCGGACGGCGGTCAGCGGCCAGGGAGCCACCATTGGCGAGTCCGGATACACGCGACATTCAAAGAACGCTTCCGCGTTTGTACCAGATCGGTTTTGTCCCTGGCAATGGCGTGCAGCAGGCCTGATGATTGTTCCCACGCGGTAATGTTGGACACAGACAATGTGACACAGATATGGTTGAAATGATCACTCCATGCATTCTATAAAAGTGGTTTGTCGGTGAAAATTTTGAACAAACGATGAAACATTCGCCAAAATTTAACACTATTTCAGCTGACGGTCCAGCAACGTCAGCAACGAGCGTGACGTACCTTAATGATTAGACAGTGCCTCCGCGTTTCTTCCCACATCCGACTAGGGACAGCTGTCTGATTCCCTCAGGCCACGACCAAGCGTGAGCCAGCCTGGATGCAACCCGCGCGAGAGCACCGTCCGAGAGCACCGTGCGAGAACACTGCGCGCCGGTCCCTACTGCGCGGTCAGACCCAGCGCCTCACCGGTCCCTGCCGCGTAGTCAGACACAGCGCCGCGCCGATCCCCGCGCGCTGAGACACAGCGCCGCGCCACTGCCCGCGCGGCCTCGCCGGCACCCGGCGGCAGACTGCCGGCCGTGGCGCGCCGGCGAGCGGTCTCCAGCGGAGAGGCACGAGGCCCGCCGCCCGACGGTCAGGCCGACGACATCGGCGGGACGCACCCAGACCCGTGAGGCTGCTGGGGCGTAGTGTTCCATGACTGTGACAGTCAGATTCAGTTGCAGTTATCAGTTTGGAACATACATTTTTAGTAGAGATAGAACTTTCGGTAGAAGTGGGACTTTCCATAAAGTTGGAAATTTCGATGAAACTGGAACTTTCAATGAAACTGGAATTTTCGATGGAACTGAAACTTCTGATGAAACTGGAACTTTCGGTGGAACTCTCCATTGATTGGATAGTAATTATATTTTTCCGAGCCGATCACATTTGATCGACCCCAGCAATCACGCGCTTGAATATTTTGCTATCATGACCTTAGGTGACCATGACCTTACCTGCGATTCACAAATCATTGTCATTGACCTACTTGCCGAGCTTGAAGCTTCCTGCAATACTTCAATATATCATCAGTTACAAATGTTCGACCGGATGTACAAGGCCGGCTATATTCAAGGGCCATTATCAAGGAAAGTTGAGAGATTTCAGTCGCAGCATATGTAAATAAAGGTTGGCAGGCTGCAAGAGCCCACCATTAGTTTGTGTTGGCGTGCACTAATCTGGTCTTTGTGGATACATTAGTATCATTGTGGGCGAAAATCTGGTGGAAAATAACACACTAGATGCACTTTCTCTGCTTCCCAGTGTTTGACTGGCGTAGTAATAACAGTGGGCATCTACTGTGCACACAGAAATGGCGCACCTAACAAATCGTTGTATGATAAAGGTGGTACGTGTGGCAAAGATGGGTGCTGTAGACGTAAAGGTAGCAGGGGGCAGGGCCAGGGAGAGTACCGTGCCGAGAGAGTGCCGGGCTGTCGTAAAATGGATGGCACTTAATCAAGTGTGAGTAGCGCGATTAAGATCACATTTCGGTAAAACTTCTTGCTTTAGTTGGACCTGTGAGAAAGCGACTAGATATGATAAAGGCAATCGGAGTCGGGACAAAATGGGTCGGGGCACGGCAGAACAGCTGTTCTACATATATGCACAGTATAGATCGAACGACAAACTTGCACTAGCAGATGTAAGTGATACATTTTCAGACAGCAGTTTCCATGGTAATTAAAATGCTGCAGTTGACACCATCGAGCGGAACCTAATGATAAAAATCATGCTATTAATAGCACACAATAAGAACCGTTTGCTGCAAAGCATTAGCCACCGTTTTCTCATTCCGGGAGCCGTGCTACCTAAAGCGTTGTAAGTCGGCCTTGCAGGCTAGGGCGCTATATCCACTGGCTATCGCAGACCACCTAGTCAGTGGAAGCCACACACAGTATAGCAGATTACGTTTTACCTAGGCCACACACACGTTTGCGGTCACACACCCAGCGCCATCCCAGACCAAGAGTGCGAGGACCGGAGGGGCCTGAGAGCAGAGCTCCACAACTTTCTGAAAGTTTAACATTGGCGTTATGGACATTGGCCAGAAAAATGCATCTTCCAGCTAGAAGAAAGCAGCTGTCTCTGCCCAAGAGATCCCTTCCCAGCCGTTCATTTTCCCCGTAATCTTCATGGGGATCATAAAGTGGTTATCGGCCGCCAGGGGACTGATGACACCGAGCAGCTCTCACTCTCGCGTCACTCTCCTGAGTCCAGCGCACCTCGTCCAGCTGCCATAATACTGCTCCCTTTAGGTTGACGTGCTTGCCGCACAGCTCTTACATCTTCTTGTCGCCAAACGATATTGTCTTCACGCGTTACGCGAGGCCGCTGACATGGATGAAGTGACCTTAGTACGCTAGGCTCTGGGATTAGTCGGGTCCATCACGACACCATGGCTGTGATGTACCGGATCCGGGCCTAGTCGGGCCCACCATAACACCATGGCCGTAGTATGCGGGGCTCGGGGCTCAGTCGGGCCCACCATAACACCATGGCCGAAGTACGCTGGGCTCGGGGCTCAGTAGGGCCTACCAAGACACCATGGCCGTAATATGCTGGGCTCGGGGCTCAGTCGGGTCCACCATAACATCATGGCTGTAGTATCCTGGGCTCGGGGCTCAGTAGGGCCTACCATGACACCATGGCCGTAGTATGCTGGGCCCGGGGCTCAGTAGAGCCCACCATGACACCATGGCCGAAGTATGCTGGGCTCGGGGCCCAGTAGGGCCCACCACGACACCATGGCCAAGTATTCTGAGTTCGGGGCTCAGTAGGACCCACCATGACACCATGGCCGAAGTATGCTGAGCTCGGGGCTCAGTCGGGCCCACCATGACACCACAGCCACTCGGGCGAGCGCCCGCCTCCGAGTCCACAAATCCTAGATAGGTGGCGCCACAGTCGCGCCACAGATGGCGTCGTCGGCGTGACGGCCGCGACTGATGCGTGACGTCCAGACACCACCCGCAGCAGACCCACTCATCGCTCTTCAGATGAAGCGTAGAGGCCTTTTAATGTCGGAAGCGCCCTACGCGGAATTCATTCGAGCATTGTTTATGGCTTGTTCTTGCCAGAGGATTGTCAGATGTGTGTGACATGGTTGGCTACGGATTTCACCTTGTGGTGTCAAGCGAAGTTTTGAAGTGGTTTGTGCTGATGGGCAAACCGAGGATCACCATTTCGATTCCCATTTCATTAAGTATCGGAAGCTCTAGAAAAAAGAAAATCCGTTTTTTTTTATTCCAAACAGCCTACCACACAGATACCATATTCCAGTTGCTGAATGCTAGATCCCCAGTCCAGAGCGTCATTGCAATAACGTCAGAGCGAGAAACATCTCCGCTCTGAGCCCCGTCAGTGGAGGGCTTCGCCTAGTTCCACCCCGTCCCTGCAGTCCGCTCTGGTGGCCTGACTCGGCCTCCGGTATGGATGGAGCGCAGCTGCAGTACCCGGCAGAGGCGAGTGGGACAGAGGCTCGCCGTCCCGTCAGTCATCAGGCGGTGTCGGTCAGATGCACAAAGCGCCTCACCGTCCCCCAGTCATCAGGCGGTGTCGGTCAGATGCACAAAGCGCCTCACCGTCCCCCAGTCATCAGGCGGTGCCGGTCAGACGAGAACGGAGGCTTGCTGTCTCCTCAATCCCAGAGTGGCACCCGCCGGGCTAGAGCGGTGGCCCTTCCTGGGGTGTCACCGACTCCACTCCAGTCCCAAGTCCGCGAGAGCTCGCTCGGAGGTCGGCGTCAGCTGCTGCAGCCGCATGCTGCACATCTCGCTCCGGCTCCCAGGCACGGCGCGTGTCGATGTGTCACGACAACCACCGCTCGCCGCTGCGCTGGCCGGCTTCGCACGCCAAGGCTACAGCACATCAGAAACAGAGGGGTTGGAACCGGTGATTTAAAGCGGCCAAAGTTCTCGGCGCCCCGCCAAACCTCCAGCATTATCGATGTAATCTATCATGCCCTACACCTGTAGACATTTCGAGGGTCAATGGAAACAGCAACATTCGTCTAAGATGGCTTCCGCTACGTTAGTTGATCTTGGCGACCTGGTGACACGCCGTATAACCGTCGGTAATAAATGTTGATCTGGTGTTCGGGCACTTCTAGACCTGGCGGCTTTCCTTGCTCAGAGAAATGTCGGGAATTGTCGACAAAATCTCGTATGCTCTACACCTGCTGCGTGTGCTCCACACCTGTTGACTTTGTAAAAAAGAAACAAATCGAAGTGGTCGCGATGTTCCAGGCAATGGGATCCCTTCCGAGAGACACTTACTTTCGCAATTGATATAACAGGGAAAGCCATGTCTGATGGTATATCATAAATGTTGACCAAGAGCAGAGCAGCCTGTTTTGCCCTGTGCTTGGCTCCGATTTACGCGTCATACATTGTGGGACTTTTAAATGTTCTTAATTGGTTTGTTTATTGCTCTCTCCATCATGAGTTTGAGCCTCATCTTTGCGTTCAATAACATGAGACTTTCTTCCTACCAATACATTTAGCAAATACGAGGTTATCAGTTTACTTCGGGCTTTACGCAAAAGTGTCGTGCTGTGACCTTTCGGCCGCTCAGTAAAAAGTCACAACTGCTTTGGCAGCGGGTTTGACCTGCATGGGCATCCGTCCAGCGAGTATCTGTGTCGTATCATCACTTGGCGATACGAGACCAGATTTACACATACTTTAAGTGTGCACATTTAAAGCAGCTGTAGGCTTGGGTGTTTTCTTGCAGGACTATGTCTCATTAGACTTTATGTCTTATCACATTTCTTCATTGCATGCGTCACCGAATAACTCATTCACTGTCCAGTGCAACCAAGAGCCTCACCTCAGTTTAAAGCTTTTCACACAAGAAGTGGCAGACTTTGCATGAATTTATTGGAATGGTCACAAATAGCTATATATTGGTCATATAGATATAAAAAGGTCATATAAATAGCTATATGTAATAGCTATATATAGCTATATATATTTTACATTGGTCAGCTATACCAATATGAAATAACTCAGAGGCGATCCCCACGGATTATTCCGCTGGGTCAAAGACAACATCGACTCGATTTTTCTCTGACGCCACTACGCACCTGGCACGAAACTTCGGACACAATACCAGTGTTAACAACCATGCCGTGCATTCAAATAACTTTGAAGTTGGAGTTGGAGTCCTCACAAAAATCGTGCTAGCACGGTTTGTCGTCACTTGCAAATAGATTATTGGACCTATATGTCGAAGGAAAATAAGTCAGTTGTCGAAGTGGTTCAGCGTGGTTCAGTAAAGCATGATCAAATACGCACGGATGTATGCCTGTCATTTCATTCCGATCTTGGCGGTTGGTGATCCGCAGTGCTGAGATTTCACGCCCTGTCGAATATGGCCATATTTTAGACCATAACGATAACTGACGATATGTTGTTGGCATGGTGCAACATGGGCACGGTGGCGTCTGTATGTCACGTACGGCTTTGATAGCTTCCACCTTGTTCACATGAGCAGCGCTGCTCTGTATGGTAGATGGCCGGCGGGCCGTGTGGCACCCGTTGACCGCGGATGGCAGCGGCCGCTTGGATACAGGCCCGGCTCGCCGCCAAGTCCCCGGACGGCCTCCCGGACAGGTCCCGCAGGTCACCAGCCAGTCCGCCTCGGTCAGCGCCAGGACCGCCGCCGGAGCCCGGCTTGGTGCCGTGGCGCCGCTGCCACCGCCCGACGCGCACCTGTCCACGCCGCCCGACGCGCCACTCTGCGGCAACTGCGGCAACTAACAAGCAATAGACGTCTGTGTAGCCCGAAAGTGCCCATTAAACGCTGTCTGAGTGTCATATTAGCTGCCCACGCCACACAAGGAGGCATTGGCTCTCCGTCGCCCGGAGACTGCCTCGTTTGAACGCCATCTCCTCTCTGCGGAGAGCAGAGGACATCCAAACGGGGCTGAACGTGTCGACCCAGTCCCAAGGCCCAGAGCGCTCCCGCAGTCCGGGCAGCCGCGGCGGAGGCCAGCGCTGCTGACCCGGCCGGCGGCGCACCGCAGCACCCGCACAGCCGGCGCGCCGCCACGAGCCGAGCCACTTTTCATCCTTGGTGGAACACGCGCTCCGCAGTGCAGCTGTTTAGCGGCGATGGTTCGAAAATGGAAAATATCCACGCTCAAACTCAACAGCACCGCTTGAGTGGTGAGCAGGGAAATGCCAATCAGGCCGCGCGCGTACTCTCATCCCACGCAAAAGGGTGACGTGTCAGTGGAGCAGCGTGGGTCTTGTGAGCGTGGGAGGCCTCCTGGACGCAGGTCTCCGGGCTGCCACCAACAAAAGCCCGCCAGCAAGTCGATTGGATTGCTACATATTTTCTGGGGTTGCAGTGCGTTCCGATGTGACACTGGAGAGGGTTCGCAGCTGGATTTGGTCCCCTCGGCCTTCATTAGCCCGAAACATTGATAACAATGATAAACATTCCAGCCACAGGGAGGCGACACAGAACCCGTCGCGGGCTCTGGTATCGCTTCTAGTCAAATCCTGTGTGGGTATGGTCGCGGGGCGACACCGGACGTGTTTAACACGAGAGGCCCGCTTACCTTGCTGCGGGGCTTCTCGGTGCGACAGAACTGGGCAGAGACGCATCCAAGGAAGTGAGACTGTGATGGCAATGCCGCAAGGTGACCGCCGAAAGCTGGGCTCAATCACAGCGGTCAAGGGTGCTGAACCACCCCGCGTGACGTGGGCAGCCAGAAAGCAGGCCAGCCACGACTGCCGCACCAGCCAACCTCGTTCGGTCAACACTACGAGATCTGAAACTGGTAACTTTATTGAAACTCGTTTACACAAATAACTGCTTGAGAAGGTCTGGGCGGCCTCTGCGGCAACAGGTGCACGCAGCGCTACCAGCGGGCACAAACGATAACTAGTGATGCCGAGAGGGCGGCACCGGGCCATCGGAAACGCACTGCATAGATTGCCGGGAATCGATCCGACCACCGGCCAGCGCCCGCCACTCAACGGCCGACTGCAACGCAAACGAACACCCTCAACGAACGGAGCGGCAGACAGAACTGGGTTACTCAAGTACACGGAACGGGTGGTGGGTGTGGCCCGGGAGCGGCCGGCGGGGGACCGCCACGCCAGCTCGGCCCGGACGGCGCTCCGGCCGCGTCCACGGCACCGCCGCCGGGCGGAGAGCGCCTCGGGCAGCGCTGGGTTCAAGTCTCAGTCTGTGTAGCAGGCCGTGCTCGGTTGGCCTCGGTAAGCTCGTCGGCGGCGGTGCGCCGCGCTCGTCACGGCCGGTTGGCGGCTGCCATCGATCTCTGTGTCGGCACTACGGCTTCCCTGTCGCTGCTGCTGCCGCCGCCACCGCCGCCCTTTGGCACATTCGTGTGCAAAAATATGTCGCCGCGCCGGCGGAGGCAGTCTGGCGGCACGCACTCACCCGACGGCAGGCGAACGAGACAGCCAGCGGCCGCGGCCACCCGACGCCGGACACCACGCCCGAAGGCATCACACTGAACCTACTCTACAACAGTGAACACGGCCGGCCGACGTGGCCGGGGCCGCCGGGGCCCGCCACCGCGCCATATAACCCTACAGACGCTGTCCGGATCGTTCCAGTCGGTCGGCCGCGGCCGGAGACTAGACACTGGAATGGCAGAGCGGGCCGGGCCGGCCAGTCCGCTGGCCTCCGGCTCATCGCACGTCCGAAATGTTGACGCTGGAGCCGAATATCTTCTGCAGCTCCTCCTCGTAGTTCTCCATCTCGCGCTTCATCACGTCCATGCAGGGGCCCAGCAGACGCTCGAATGCCTCGCGGTCCAGGAAGGCCAGCCGCACGTCGCCGACGGCGTATGCGGAGGCGGCGCGCGGGTTCTTGGTGATGAGCGCCAGCTCGCCCAGGTAGCCGCCCTTCTCGATCGCGTTGATCTGCCGCACAGCCGGGGCACACAGTCAGCCGGCGGCCGGTCATGACGAACGCCAGAGACAATCACGCGCGCACGCCCACCCAACCCGGCCCTGACGCCGAGCCAGAGGCGGCCGGCCGGCGTGCGCGACTCTCAGCCGCCGTCCGGCACGTGCAGCCGGCCGGGGCGGCCCGCCGCAGCCCCCGCCGGCGGTCGTGTCCTGGCGCCACTCAGTGCCGACCGCAGTCGCCGCGGCCGCCATTGCAGTGAGCGTCGCTGCACAACGCCTCCGCGCCGCGCCACACACCTCCCCATCGATTGGCACACGCGCGCGAGCATAGGGGCGGCCCGGCCGGGCCACGCCGTAAACATCGCGCCGGGTGACAATGCGGCGCCGCACAAACAGAGCCCGGCTGTGTATTATCTCAGCGCGGCCGCGCCGGCGGGACGGCGGCTCACCTGCACCTCGTCCTGGCCCTGCTCGCCGCGCATGATGCGCACCGTGCCCTCCTCCACGAAGTACATGCCGTCGGCGTCGTCGCCCTGCTCGATGATCAGCTCGCCGTCCTTGTAGGTGCGCGGCACCAGCGCGTCGGCTAGGTTCATCCGCTCGTACGACTGCAACGAGAGCCGGCGGGCGGTGAGGCCAGGTGCCGGCTGGCCGTGGCCCGTCCCCGAGCAAGGGCTCCAGTCGCTGCCGGAGCTCACAGGCCAGCACCTGCCTGCCTGCCCGACCCGGCAAGTCTCCTGCAGCGCCGGATTCAATACATCCCATTGCGTGGCAAGAGAGCTTGACGAAGGATCAATCGCAGAAACTCAAGACAAAAGTTTAGATTCGACGATAGGGGTCAACCCGCCTTGAGTGCAATCCCGAAGTCGGATTCAGCACATTCGCACATTTCGGCATGCAATAAGAGAAGAATAACAGCTGCCTCTCTGGCGGCCAGGATGGTTCGACTTCAGTGACGTCGCCCATGGCTCCGTCGTACCACAACGGTCCATACTGCTTGCCAGAGACCAAACGTAGGAACAATGAGTGAATGGCGAAGTCATCGGCTGCAACTCAGCGCTAGTACAACATATTCCGATCACAATACCTCACGCAAAGCCGTTGCGGGTAGGGCTCCCATTTCTTTATGTCACCCTAGGACCGTTAGCGACAAACATGTACATGTCTGGTGCACGTATACATGCACATATCTCCATTATGCACACATTCGGCGGCGGACCGTTACTAAAACCGGTCCCGGCATCAACACAGCCGCAGGGTGCCCAGTGTCGTGTTGACCTGTCTGTGTATTGGCAGAAGAAACACGGCAGCCAGAGTCTCAGGTGGAATCGGCAGAAGCACGACATCCAGAGCCTCAGATGGCATCGACAGAAACAAGGTACCCGTAGCCTCAGGCGCAGCGGCGACATGAGACTGCAGCCGAGAGACACGGGTACGATGCTGTACCGGGGGGCCCCGGCCGCTGCCTGCCGCCGTTCCGGAAGGCGCGCCCGCCTCCTCTGTCCTGCCACCGTGAATGGGCGCCTTCTGAGGTCGGCCGTCGGCGACAGCACACGAGTGCCGTTCGTGGCGGGAGTCGCCCCGCGGAATCGAGAGCAGTCGGCGGCCGGACTCTCACCGCCTGTACGGCGCGGCGGCGCCCTGCTCAATAATGCAGCTGACGGCTACAGGTGCGGCCGGCCGAGCGACGGCGGCAGCCGGCCGTGTTGCCGACCGCGCCCCCGTCACCGGCCGGGCAATAGATGACGTCACGCGCGCGTCAACCGGCCCCCTGTTTAAACAGGCGAGGCGCCGCCGCGTCGGTCCCGCTCTGCCGGGACCGACCGCCGCGCCGGCAAAGAGCAGGCGAGCGGCGGCCGCCCGGGGCGCGGCCGGCTGGCTGCACACCGACCGCCCGGCTCCGGGGTGATTTGGTCACTTTACGACGCGTGCAACCGCCCGCGGCATTAGCGGCGCAGCCACTCCGGTCCGCCGCCAGCAGCGAGAAGCCGCAGGCCGCTCACCACTGCGCTATTCCGCCGGATACTGTGAGCGCCGGTGCCACTGCCGTGTGCACGCCGCCGTGCTGCAGCGGCCCGGAGAGTGCGTCCGCAGGCGCGGCGTCCGACCCGGCGCAGCCGCGCCAGCCGCCGGCCGGCGTCATGTCGCAGAGCGACGGGCCCGGCCGTAATTGCACGGCACTGTTCGGTATGCCGACCGACTCTCATCAGCAGCGCACACGAGGACGTCTGAGTCGAAACGCCGCCGAGGCTGCGCGGTGATACTGATCCCCCTGACAGGCCGGCTGGTCGCTTTGCCGACGCCGTGGCGCGATTACAGGGCCTGGCGGCACACCAAGGCTGGGTGCGCTGGAGAACGGATATGCCGGGGGGGGGGGGGGGGGGACTCCAGAACCAGGCGACACACCGAAGCTGGGCGCGCCGGAGAGCACAGATGCGCGGGGCGGCACAGACCAATCGGGGCCGTCCCGGCCACTCTGTAAACAGCCGACGTGTTGACCCGAGTCCCTGAGCGGGCTGACCTATCAAACGAACCTCTGAACACACACATCCAGCGAATGGGATCCACAGCGGCGCAGCCAGCCAGCAGTTCGAGGTCCTGTGCCGCTGGTGGACCCTTCGCTGTCGGGGGCGAGCCAGAGGGAGGCCGGCGCGGAAGCCCCCCCCCCATGGAGTAGAGTCGTTTTATATCAAGAATCGAAAGGGCGGGTAACAAGACATTCCAAAACATCAAAGGACGCCTCCGCATTTCATTGTCGGTATTTGGGCGTAAGGACACGCCAACAGCCGCGGTCATTCTGAGCCCAAACTATGGCTGCGCAGAACTATGTCCTACTTCACCATGTAAGGTCGTGTTCGTTATATCATGTAATGTCGCTGTTGTAGGCTTCCGAAGTGTGTCTTAAAAGCACGAGCTTCAAAATGAACGGTGACAACACGCAGAGTGGAAAGCAAGTACGCTAGGAAGCTTTCAACCAGGGTCGTCCGGCGTCAGGGGCCGTAAAGGCCAATGAATGATCGTGAAGTCAATGCCGTTAAGAAATGGAAAAACTGCTCTCACGTCGATTGTGGGAACCTCGCCTATGAGTGGACAATCTACGTTGAACATGACGACCAAAGTGGCGACAGCGCTCCGTCGCAGTGTGGTCACTCCACGGGGATGTGAGCGACGGACAGCGCGCGACCCCAGCGAGGGGGACATGCCGGTGTTTGTCCTGCTGAGAAAAGAAAATCGTGTCTCACGTGTGCGTGACCTGTGCGGATCCGGCACAGGCTAATCTCCAGAGACAGAGACAGAGACAGAGACAGAGACAGAGACAGACAGAGACAGAGACAGAGACAGAGACAGAGACAGAGACAGAGACAGAGACGAGCAGAGACAGAGACAGAGTCAGAGACAGAGACAGAGACAGAGACAGAGACAGAGACAGAGACAGAGACAGAGACAGAGACAGAGACAGAGACAGAGACAGAGACAGAGACAGAGACAGAGACAGAGACAGAGACAGAGACGAGACAGAGACAGAGACAGAGACAGAGACAGAGACGACATAGACAGAGACAGAGACAGAAGACGAGACAGAGACAGAGACAGAGACATAGACAGAGACAGAGACAGAGACAGAGACAGAGAGAGAGGAGAGAGAGAGAGAGGAGAGAGAGAAGAGAGAGAGAGAGGAGAGAAGAGAGAGTAGAGAGAGAGAGAGAGAGAGAGAGAGAGATAGAGAGATAGAGAGAGAGAGAGAGAGAGAGAGAGAGAGAGAGAGAGAGAGAGAGAGAGTTCTGACTGGCCCTCCTTGGGCGCAGGGTCCGTCCGCCCTCTCCTTCCCAGTAACGTCGGTGTTTCCAGGCACCCAACCGAAGGCTACACGCTTCCCTATCTGTTCGAGGGATGCAATAAGTCGCATAATCTCGTCAACGAAAACGCTTTTTGTTTTTAAGTAATGGATGGCTAGAATACTGCTCAAGGAGTTAGATGAAGCAAGAAACCGCTCCGCTCGTTCCTCCTCCGCAGAAGCTAATGCCTCCTTAGTTGCAAAAAGTCCAGTGGTATAAACTGAACATTAGGGGGACAATGTAAAACATTTCGTCCAGCTATCACACACCGGAGCGTATTCTGTGCCTGCCTCAGACTTCGAGCCATTCGTCTATATGCAAAAGTACGTACCGTAGTCGGTGCACATACGCTGGAGAACCTTAGAGTGAACCTCCTCAGCAGCTGTCGATCTTTTGACCAGGGTATGGTAAGCCTATCACGCGAGAGAAGTCCTTCCTCTTGATGTTACATTCTTGCAGACTCCTCTTGACACCCACACACATAGGCTCCGATTAGCTAACGTTACCACCTTCGAACAACTGGATTAAATGTCGCCGAAACATGCAGCAAAAGGCCGGAGGTGCCCAAAGCTGTGCAATCTTTACGGCATACCGTGCGCTGAGCATTTCGCGTTGGAATGACAGCGGCGGTTCATTCGCCTCATCAAGGGACTGGAGATCGGACTGGGTCCAAATGCCCCAGCAGCAATGCGTATTCCATCATGGTGCAATGTGTCAGGCACGCGTTTCGCTGGAATACCGGCCGACTCGAAAGCTTGGCATTCATATTATAGCTTGGATCGGACCAGCGATCGGTACAGGGGAAGCACTGTCCTGCGGTCCACACCACACGCCATCATGGAACGACTTTGAAAATGCTTAAATGCTTAAAGCACCATTCTATGAGCTTTCAAACTGCTACAAATGCGTCAATTTGTTGCCAAACACTAGCATGGGGAACCGTGCTTCAGACTTGACTGCAACTGCCCGTACACGTATAGCCGTGGATTCACGCAGATTTTTCGCTCCCTGCAAAAATGCATAACCGTCGTTTTCTATGTCAAAAATCTGAAGCCAGTGCGGAAACCCCATCTCTCCAAGTATTCACACACATTCCCCCTGCATTTCAAACTTAAGAAAATCCATCACTAGTTTTCATTTTAGAACCACTCCGAACGACAGCGCCCCCGTCACGTGGTAAAAATGGGACCCTTCAGACCATCTTCCCTCCTCTCCTCAATGAAAATCCCAAATGCACCCCAGCCTCGTTTATAAGTACGTGCGTGGAATAATACTTACTGATGCACAGGCGGCAACGTTTATAACCATTATAAGGTCTGACCACCCTCCTTTCGCTGAGTATCAGCGACTGAGCCTAAGGCAACACTTCATCTTCGTTGTCCAACCAATTTACTGGACCATACAACACGGCAACACTACACACAAGCTAAGCACACAAACGGGACGAACAAACCTCTAAAACCTGATGGCTGCCTAATTATGCGGGGACACAGGTACGTGGTCATGTCAACATCTCTGCGCGTGCTCCAATGTGTATGGTGGTAGAATGCGAGAACCCCTTCCGCACCCCCCCCCTCCCAAAGAAAATAACGGATTTAAAAATGTTTAAGGGTGGTTCTCACTGATTGGCGTTTGTACCAAAATACTTGCATTGTGATTTTTTTTGCACTTGCGCGCATGTGGCCGGGCTTCCATACGCTTCAAACAGCTCTCCCCGCACATTCCGGGACTGGGTTTATGAGGGGCGAGTGGACTTAAAGTACGTTGAGGATGAATGTACAGAAAATATGACGCTTCTAACTTGGTTTTTACTTAAACACGCCGGGTACGCTGCGCTACATAACTCCAGCTTTTGGTACAAAAGTGTTTATAGCTCGATCATATTCCTGCACTGGATACGCTTGCTATGGTAACGACATTTTGTGGATTCTTTGGCAGCACGTGCGCCCCCCGCCAGTGAGCTGGCCCCGTCCCGCCGAAGGGCTGAGAGGAGGAGGGGCCGGAGTCACTCGTCAGTCGTCACTCGTCCGCGCCGGCTCCGACCCGCCGACGGGCTTAGAGGTAAGGGGGAGAGGGAGGGTCACTCGTCAGTCGTCAGTCGTCTCTCGTCTGCGGCGGCTCCGACTCGCCAGATGGCTGGGAGGGGAGGGGGGAGGGACCAGGGTCACTCGTCAGTCGTCACTCGTCCGCGCCGGCTCCGACCCGCCGACGGGCTTAGAGGGAAGGGGGAGAGGGAGGGTCACTCGTCAGTCGTCAGTCGTCTCTCGTCTGCGGCGGCTCCGACTCGCCAGATGGCTGGGAGGGGAGGGGGGAGGGACCAGGGTCACTCGTCAGTCGTCACTCGTCCGCGCCGGCTCCGACCCGCCGACGGGCTTAGAGGGAAGGGGGAGAGGGAGGGTCACTCGTCAGTCGTCAGTCGTCTCTCGTCTGCGGCGGCTCCGACTCGCCAGATGGCTGGGAGGGGAGGGGGGAGGGACCAAGGTCACTCGTCAGTCGTCACTCGTCCGCGCCGGCTCCGACCCGCCGACGGGCTTAGAGGGAAGGGGGAGAGGGAGGGTCATTCGTCAGTCGCCAGTCGTCTCTCGTCCGCGCCGGCTCCGACCCGAAGACGGGCTGAGAGGGGGGGGGGGAAGGGGCCGGGGCCACGCGTCAGTCGTCACTTACTCGGCGGCGTCACTCGTCCGCGCCGGCCCCGGCCCGCCGGCGGCGCGTCAGTCAGCACGGCGCGGTGTCCCACGGGTACGGGGGGCAAAACAGACCGGCGCGTCCAGACGGCGGCACGGAATGCCGGTGCCTGCGCGCGCCGCCCTCGGTCGGAGCGACGGCACGCCCGTCCACAGGTGCGCCCGCAGCCACCTCCGGCCGCGGCCTCGGCGGCGGCTGGTAACACGACGATCGTTCAACAGGGGAAACTCAGCACACACCCTGGACACGACGGTTGGATGCTAACAAAACTTTTCTTGCGCACAACGCAAGAGCGGCAGGACAATGATAATGATGCATGCTGTAGACGAAAGATTAGAAAATGCACGGCTAACGCCAGCCAGTGATCTTCAAAAGCATGCTGGAATAGTGAAGATGACGCAAAGGCGGGCGTGGAATCATTTTAAAACGATGGGATGAAGGAATGTTAGTATTTCATATCAGTTCCTGCTAGACAGCGTTCATAAACCCAGCCAGGAATGTGGGAGGGGTAGGGAGAGGGGCTCTAACCCTTGCAAATGTTTGGTATATCTATTCACGCGCAGATACCATTCATCCTTAAAGCGACAATTCGGGCAATACTTCAAGTACCTGAACTTCGACCAAACGAGCTCAACAATGGTACCAGATCAGTGCCGGTCAGCATACAAATAACACAATGCAAGCAGCGAATTGCCCCACATTTGTGTGCATTTCGCGCATCTCAGATCTGTTCATTTACGCACATCACGGACGTCTTATGACTGGAATTCCTGCGGCCTTTCAAGCGGACTGGGACTGAGACAGTACTCCCTCACCAGCGCAACGTCACAACGCCACTGGCACACTGAGGCCGTTCTGGGGGCAGACCATGGGCGGCTGGGGGCACAATGGCGCAAGTGCAGCCGTGGGTGCAGTCGTGGCTGCAGTCGTGGTCATGCATGTGCCCTGCAGTTTGTTGACCCGTTGTTCACACAACCAATCCTTCACAATGCGTTGGTGAATGGAACGTAGGCCAAATGCCCGCTCTGCACCGTCATATTTGTATGCCTACGCCAGTACCAGCTTCTCCGCTTCGAAAAAGAGGCGTAAATAGTTACACCACTAAATACGACATGTACAGACGGAATTTACACCCGACGTTACCAAAAGACCGCGCCTTGCATCATGCAAATGTAATGCTGAGAAGGAACTGATACGTGATAAATCGACAAGACTCGGCAGCAGCAGCTGCTGGGGCCCCTTGAAGTGCTGCACCACCTGCAAACTCTTCCGACGACATCTGATCGCCATGAAACAAGCTCTGACAGACCCCAGCGGCAATTGCTGGCTCCCGCCAATGGCGGCCAACACAGGATCTGGCCGTGGTGGCCAGGCCAGCGAGGCTGCCTCGTCCTTCGCCATCACCCACCTCCAGCGTCTTCAGCATGGGCACCGACTCCAGCAGCTGCTCGTACATCTTCCGCTTCTTAAAGGCGTTCTTGAGCACGATGCGCCGGAACGTCTGTCGATCCATGGCCCAGAGCGAGCCCTCCGAGTCCGCCTGCCGGCAGGGGTCAGCCGCTCGGTCACCAGCCCAGGCTGCCTCGTGGCCAGACCAGCGAGGGCACCGGCCGGCGGACATCAGCCCACAACTCGCCCCTTCAAAACGTGGATGGTCATGCGTTGTCAGATGCTGAAGAGTTCTACCAATCGACCACCTTACAGTCTCATCACAAACGCGCCAGTTTTATGCATGATTCGGGGGGGGGGAGATACTACTTCCCCACCCAAAACGACGGAACATGCCTGTATGATACAATAATGGTTGATGCAAACCTGAAGACTGATGAAGATGTAAAGTGACTCTAAAGTTCGATGGTTATTTGTTCAACTCATTTTCAAATAAATCCACTAAAACAAACCCATGTGATGTCATTAGCCTGTCACGCTTTTGAGCGTGTCGTCTAGCGCCACACTTGTCTTTGCATTAAGGCGCTGACAACGGATAGCCCCGGCGTTCCGGAACAATAATGAGCCTCCATCAAACGCTTATGGCATTGTAAAACAGCCGTCCGGTCTTCCCTTACATCAGATTAATATCGCCACAATGGTTCACCAGTGGATGCTTGCTTTCCGACCCTGTTTCGTGGTCGCGATGGGACTACGGCTGTTTGCGTTCTGGTGCCCGTCAGGACGGCTGGATTATACAACACCCTATCGCCCTAGGTCAAGGCACATCAGCGTCACAGATAGGCATGCGATTAAATTGTTCTGATCAAGTTGCCAAAGTTGTCTGATATTCATGCGCACTCTGTTGAGACTTCAGCCTCTAAGCGTTACTCGTGGCTAGTTTTACAAGTTGGTTGTAATTCAAAGGAAGCCCTATTCATCCAAGTCGCTTGGTTAATGGTAATCTGGATTAATGTTATGTCAAACAATCTAACGTTGGGAGCCGATTGCATCTTTCATTCTGTTCCATATGTCCATGCCTAATGATCTGAAATCACATTTTCCTGATGGGTCATGCAGACTGAATGGGCTCACTAACTCCAAGGTTCAGGTCATACTGGGTCACACAATTATGGTGGAAAATGATGGGAGAAACCATTGCAAGGTGTTGACATATATTTTTAGCGAGCATTCAACATGCATTTCATTCTAAACTGGACCGTAAAACACGCTCACGAACAGTCAAAAATATATCTGAATCCTTCACCTAGCATGATCTAAGAGGGACAAATAACTCGGACCAATGGCAATATCACACCCGATGTAGGTATGGCTAGAGTGGATCTAGAGCACCCTACATATACAACAGTACTCCATTAATGAAGCCCGCACAGGCCTCTGAAAAACGCCAAAATCTACTGACACGACTTGGAGACAGTGCCATGTCTTTGGCCCTACTTTTGAGATCGGGTGATCTGACCAGGTTCAATGGCCAGACCCTCTCAACCCTCTTGATCAGGCTCAATGGCCAGACCCTCTCAACCCTCTTGACCAGGCTCAATGGCCAGACCCTTTCAACCCTCTTGACCAGGCTCAATGGCCAGACCCTCTCAACCCTCTTGATCAGGCTCAATGGCCAGACCCTCTCAACCCCCTTGATCAGGCTCAATGGCCAGACCCTCTCAACCCTCTTAATCAGCCTCAATGGCCAGACCCTCTCAACCCTCTTGATCATCAGCCTCAATGGCCAGATCTGCATGCGCCAGAGAGGAATACGATCAAGGGACATCTCTTGCTGTCTGAATAAGCAAGGGCGGTCGATCTTAAGGGGCGATACCCAAGAGAGCGTCTCCCCGTACACGTATGGTTAGGACCTTGTGCTTAACTGATCCAGCAGCTCCTGAGGTCTCTACGTGTCGCGTGTTCTCCAAAGAAGATAATCATGCCATCTTTGACACTGTTTACGTCACGATATGGCGCCTGCAATACCGCGCACGAAAGACTAAAAAGGAAAACAATACGATTTTGACGGCCTAGCCGAGCAGCCGGCCGTCAGGCGACAGAGCACCGGCCGCCGGCGAGCCACCACCCCGTACCGGCGAGCACCACCCGTACCGGCGAGCCGCCCACCGTACCGGCGAGCCACCACCCCGTACCGGCGAGCCACCACCCCGTACCGGCGAGCCACCACCCGTACCGGCGAGCCACCACCCCTACCGGCGAGCCACCACCCGTACCGGCGAGCCGCCACACCGTACCGGTGAGCCGCCACCCTACCGGCGAGCCACCACCCCGTACCGGCGAGCCGCCACACCGTACCGGTGAGCCGCCACCCCGTACCGGCGAGCCGCCACCCCGTACCGGCGAGCCACCCACCGTACCGGTGAGCCGCCACACCGTACCGGCGAGCCGCCACACCGTACCGGTGAGCCGCACCCCGCACCGGCGAGCCGCCACACCGTACCGGCGAGCCACACACCGTACCGGTGAGCCGCCACCCCGTACCGGCGAGCCGACCACCACCGCACCGGCTGAGCCGCCACACCGTACCGGCGAGCCGCCACACCGCACCGGCTGAGCCGCCACACCGTACCGGCGAGCCACCACCCGTACCGGCTGAGCCGCCACACCGTACCGGCGAGCCGTTCCGGACGGCGTTGGGCATTTGGATCACATGGACAGCTGATGAGAACACGGGCAGCGGTATGCCGCACCATCTCAGAGCACTAACGCAAACAGCACGGAAAGCGGTGAACTGAAGAAAGGCTGACAGCAATGTGTTGTGTTGTGCCTCGCGAGACATGACCCAAGTCGCGATGCAAAACAGGGCCAAATCGACGACACGGCTAGCAATGAGTTCATCAAGGATGCGATTACCCCTGTGACAAAGTGGACGCATGTAAATGAGGTCAGAAAGAGAAAGTCAGACCGCTGGCAGAGTCACAGATCCTGGGGTCACAGCGGGGACACGGGAGCCGGCAGACGTGACTCCCACACGGCATGAGGCCGGATGGGCAGCTGGACGGCGCATGGCGGGGTCGGACAGTCACAGACACGTTGTTGCGGCTGGATCGGCAGAAAACATCAGCTCTCATATTTCAAGCTGAAGTAATTAAACAAGCGAAAACGATTGATAACGTTATCTCTCGCCCTCAGCCCGCGTCCTCATGCAATAGGTGGGAGGCGATGTCAAGGGATGCTCATCACTTCACTGACAAGGGGAAACACGAGCCTTTTTGACAGTAACAGCGAGCACACGGGGGTGCTTACCCAACGGGGGCGGGTCACAGGTCTGTTGCCAGCCCCCGGCCGACGAGTGTGTTAGCCACAGGTAAACCAGATCAAACCAGTCCTTACTGACCGCAGTGTGTCAGCCTGAGGTAAGCCAAGTGAGGCCAGCTCGGACGGCAGTGTGTAAGCCTGGGGCAAGCTAGGTCAGACCAGTGCCGACCGACAGCGGTGTGTCAACCTGGGGTAAACCAGGTCAGACCAGTCCTGACCGACAGCAGTGCGTCAGGCTGAGGTAAGCCAGGTCAGACCAGTGCCGGCCGACAGCGGTGTGCCAGCCCGAGGTAAGCCAGGTGGGGCCAGCTCGGACCGCGGCCCACCGGCGCGACGGTCGACAGGTGCTCATCGCTGCGCTCGGACCCGGCCGCCTGCCTGCCGGCCGGCCCCAGCCCGGGAGTCGGCCGATCGATGACCTGGCCCGGTCGGCGACGGTCGGAACCGGCGCCGCGCCTCAGCGGCCGGCAGCGCAGCACACGCGTGCGGACCTCGTTCGGCAGAACTTTGGCAGTTGAGGAGCTACCGGAAGTGAATCTAGCCACACGTGTCGGGACATAACAAAGAGCTAATATGATTGCACTAGGCATCAGCACGACTTTTTGTCAGCTTCCAACAAATCCAAGAATGTTGAGGACCCGCTCACACGCAACTCTATCCGATTCCACTGCAACCAGCGGTCGGCCGCGTCGGTGGTTCGGGTCGCAGCGCCGGCCAGGCTCGACGGCGGCCCGCCGGCGGACAGCGCCAGACGTGCCGTGGGCGCGACCTCGCTCCTCGCGGCGGGCGGCGCCACTGTAAAGTTCAGCGCCGCTCATCAGCGTGAAAGCCTCGCCCTGCTCAAGCACGTGATGGCCGATGCCGCTTCCGTGCAGACGGCGGGCCGGGCTCTCCGCGGAGCGCGCGGGCCCGTCGCCGCCTGAGCCGACCCAACCCACCGTGATGGTGGCCGCCCGCGGCATGTTGTACATCAGTGCCAGCTCGCCGAAGCTGCCCTGGTTCTCGTAGCTGCCGACCTTCTTCGGCTCGTCGCTGTCGTCCGTCTTGACGTAGATGCTGTACTGTCCACTGTGGAACGGAAGACCGATTCACCGACGAGTCTGTTGTGTCAGGTCACAAACAGATGGCACCATCAGCAGATTGAATCTGGTTCGGCCACAGGAGCGCGAAAAGATCAAGTCAAACACTAATGGCAGCAGCACCACCGCAATGGAAACAGCGGCACTTGGTAACACACAGGCGGCAGCACAGACGCGGTCGCAATGTCACACACAGATGGCAGTACAGACGCGGTCGCAATTTCACCCACAGATGGCAGTACAGACGCGACGGTGATGTCACCCACAGATGGCAGTACAGACGCGGCAGCAATGCCACGCACATGTGGCATCACCAGCTAGACAGCTCGATATAGACCCAAACGCTTGCTTATGCCGCTGCTGCAGTAGCGTCGCCTAGTTTATTGGGCGTGCTGGCTGAAGCAGGCGACGCGGGCCGGCCGGTGGTCGATGCCGATGGTCGGCCACGGCGCGTGCTCTACCGTGACAGCACGCCCGGTCAACACAGCCGGCCACGCCACATGCTCGGACCGCCGGCCCCACTGAGGCGCCCCGACAGCCGGCCACGACATTACGTCACGCGTATTGCGTGCCGCGCAAACAGACTGGCGCGCCCGCCACGGGCCCGGTGTGCGCCGGTGAGGGACGCGGCCGCTGGTGCGCTGCGTCTCTCGGGCTGGGGGGGAGGGGGGGGGGGGGGGCAAACATGGTGACATATCCGACAGCACCGTCCCGCCGCTGGGAATGGGCGGCACGTGGGTTGCCCGAACCGCGCACGGAATCTAGACGACGCCAAGCCGCCGTCGCCGGTGGTGCCCTGCTAAAAACAGCACCAGCACTGGGGCTGCCACTTTAAATTTCTGAAAAATCGTCTCAACAGGCAACTACGTCTTCGTGAAAAGCCCGCTGATGCCGCACCGTAGGACATCACCACTGGTACCATCCACCAAGAATGATTAAACAGAAGAAGGCAGCAATGCACAGCTTTTGGTCGGCAAACGTATGCTTGATTAATCCATACGAGAAGTACATCGCAAGCCTCAGGCCACGCTCTCTCACAGAATTGCTCTTCAAAAGGCATACCACAGTTGCCTTTTGAAACATTTATCACAACTGTCCCTCGAAACATCCCCCCATAGGTACATGCCTACGAAAGCATCCAATCCGTCTTGCTATGAAGAGTGCTCACGCCTGACGCCAGAGGTCACGACCCTCATCATCTGAGAACTGCAGGTTGTCGATTCCGTTGCAGTCCCACCCACCTTGTTTCCCATTCATACATGCATGAGACGGAAACGTTATCGATGAAGCACCGAAGATGATACGTGAACGTCAAAGGCGAAGGAGGTACGAAGGCGAGGGAGCATGTAGTGCCCGGACAGCAGATATTTACGTCAATTTGTCATTTGAAGCCGTCTGAGCTGGTTACACATATTCAGAATTGTTTCAGAAAGTGGCCACTGGCACAATCGGGTGTAAAGGCATGGAAATAATTTGGACGCCTAGCTGGCTGTATGCTGTTTTTATTATTACTTTTGAAATACTGGCTGCCGGTAGGTTCGTCAGTGCTGATCGTATTAAACAATGAATGCATTTGGACGTTATCCGTCAAATCCGCCAATATCTCAGCAATACTCGCCGAAAGACCAGCGATTTTTACTTGTCCTCAGTTGACCGGCACGCAGGCTCAGAAACGGCAGGCCTGGGCCACGCTGTTGTGCACGCACATTGTTCCCGGCTAGGGGGCCGCTGTGCCGGCAGGAGCTGTCCAGCTCAGCACCAGATCGCGCCGAGCCAGCTCCAGGCCTCGGCGCGCCATTGTCTGCAGTCGGCCGCGGCTCCGGCCGGCGGCGTGTGGGCGAGCTGCCGCCGCCGCCATCGGCGAGCTGCAGAGTGGCGGGCGTGGCCACGCTCAGGCACCTGTCAGCCGGCTGAGGGCCGGCCGCCGCCGCCGCCCGCCCGGCGCCACACACGCGCCGGCCGCAGCCAGCTCCATCGAGCCGGACGGCGCAGAATGGAGCGCTTCAGCCAACAAGCGACTCCTACCGGCCAGCACTCAGCCAGCGATGACAGACCACCGGCCAGGACATAGCCGGCCACACTGGACTACCAGCCATGACACAACCGGCGACAGTGGACTACCGGCTAGGATACAGCCGGCGACAGTGGACTACCGGCCAGGATACAATCCGCGACAGTGGACTACCGGCCGGGATACCGCCGGGACATTGGACTACTGGCCAGGACACAGCCGGCGACAGTGGACTACCGGTCAGGATACCACCCGCGACAGTGGACTACCGGTCAGGATATACAGCCGGCGACAGTGAACTTCCTGCCCCAACACAGCCGACAGTGGATCAGGACACAACCCGCGACAGTGGACTACCGGCCAGGACACCGCCGGCGACAGCGGTTTGACGGCCAGGACACAGCCAGCGACACGGCCGGACGGTCTGGCGCGCAAACGCAGGCTGGCATCGCAGACGCATTTAATCGCACAGCTCATATGCAAATGCAGCTGCATATGAGCTGAAAGGAAAACCGCACTTCAAACGTCACAATATGCACGGATGTGTGACAAAATGCACAACCTTAGTACCGACACCGCACTGAAGTGCTTTGGAAAAAAGACAATTCATTGGATATGATAACTAAGAAATAGCCGCCGCGAACGTGGATAAGGGCTCAAAAGCCATCCACATGACATTCTGTTGGCATTAGTTACATCCTGGTATCCTGTCCGTACAAGGTGGTAAAGCTGCCTTCGGCGGTGCAGTGAGGGAGGGGGAGGGGTATCAGCACAACCTCTACGTCGGCTCCACTTTGGATGAGCTTAAACAGAAGTAAAGAAAAAACGAGACAATATCCCCAGAGGTAATTCATAACCATCATTTTGCATTGTCTCTCACGGATGACCACTGGGCAGAATCAAACGAAGAGAAACACATAGTTGCATGATAATGCAGCTTACCACACCTCCGCAAAGAAGATAGTGCAAATCGAGGCATGCAACCATTTAATCCAGCGAGTAATGCGAGATTATCCAAAGCTATTCCGTGACCTTCGGTGCTCTTGAAAAACAGTGGCATAGCGATTAGCCCGTGTGTGACACATGAGCTAATAATCTCGTGTGCATGGTTACATTAGCTCATGCATATATGCGACCACCTCCACACGCCGCACAAGGCCCAATCTTGTAACTTCCGAAAAAAATTCAGCCTTGACCCCAAGTAAACTCCACCTTGAATGACCACTACGTCACTAATACCAAATATGGACCATTTTGGTTAGTGACATAATGGTAGCGTGCATAACCTGACTTAAACTAATATCTGACTTGCAAGCGATGGACCATAACCTCACATGACCTTTTAAATGTCGCGAACGCCGATAGAGTTCATCACGCAACCTCCTCACACCTTTGAGACCAGGAGACAATACGAGCTGACAGGCACAGCCCGCCGCTTTCCTGCAGCTTCGCCAAGCATGCGTCTCAGAGTGACGTCATATTTATGCGAGCTGACAAGGGGAGACTGGCAACTAACGTAAAAAGGCAGGTTGAAGAGTTAAAGGGAATGTGCCACCTTTTTGTTCTTCTCACTTATTGTCAGATCGGACCCATCCGATTTGTTTGGTAATATCAGTTTTCTCGAAACCCTTCTGGACATCTGATAATTTCGATTTGAAGCAGCCGTTCCTGCGGGGAAACCTCACTGGACTCGCTACACACCACTATGAACAAAATTCACTAAATCTGCTTTGCTTTTCCTACGTTTGTGTTCGGTAATGCTTGCATCAAACTAATTTGTCAAAATGTGTAATGAATGTGACGAAAGCCTAAAACACTGTTAAAGGGAGTGTTCCACATCTGTATGGTATTTCGAACTGGGATGGCCATCTTGAAGACCTCTCAGTGCAGCTAACAGCCCTGCCCTCCGTGAGACCTAAACCACTCTAGTTCCTGGGATACACGCCCACGAGGTGTGTACTTTTTCGGGGAGACGATCTCAAGACCACCTAGGTATTCATGACGCCACAATAACGTCACAAAATCCTCCCATGCTATTAGACATGCGACGATCAAGGCCAAGACAAATGTAATTGTCGAGTCTTTCATATGTGGCGTTCGTGAGCACGATCACCAGATATAACGGCTGCCAATCGGCTCTCATTCAATGTTATGCAAGGCACAATGACGTAGTCAAACAACGACATGGTAAGGATCATATTCACTTAACAGGGAAATTGTGTTGTCCGGAACCGTGTTTTCCACTCTTAAGAAGATCAGGAATTATAAGTGAGCATGTTTCATCATACCTGATGCATACTGCAAAATATTCAATGAAGGACATTCCCTTTAAGTAAAAAATGTATGCAAATATGATGATTTTATCCCGCGGATACAGCGAAGAGTCATCCTATGACTTTGAATTTTCCCATATGGCGCTGTTGTTGTTAATTAAGGCTTTTGGGCGCGCCGACTGCATAGGTCATATTGCGCCCATAACGTTGTCATTTAGTTACCAGGTGAATATATAGAGCGACATCCGACTTTTGCAAGGAATACCCATGTATAAAAGAACCACTATGACGTTACCATAGTGGTTCTTTTAGAAGCACACTTTGGCTTTCGAAAACGGAGTACCACATGGTCTTAAGTGACGCACTGGTTCAAACTTCGACCAATGCGCTTCTTAGCAACCAGCCCCTGCTGCCCGCTGTGACAATCACGAACGTTCATTTGTACTGATCTCGTTGATATCAGCAGAGGTGCCGCTTTTAAGCCCGCTCGCCCGCAATGTGCACGTCAAAACAGCTCGAAAGTGGTAACTCCAGCCGGAAACAGCCAACAACGGCCCTTAGCAGATTCTGCCGTCGGCATGGCGACGGCGGTCGCGACAGGGCAGTTGTCGCGGTCTCTGGATACACTCCGAGGCTTCCAAGAAAGGAAGAGGTGTAGTGCTGTTGCAAAGCGTTTGAAATTTGGGCTCGAAAATAATCAAAATA